AAAGCCGCAATCTGTGCAGAGAACATCAGGCAAAGAAGTACTTCAGAAGTCCTCGTACATGTTCATCTCCAGAATCAGTGGCTGACCACTGGATCTCCAGACTCAGGCCCCAGTGTCAGTATCAGGCTAGTCCCCAGGCTTAGGCCCAGCCAGTTCAGTCTCTCAGCAGATGTCCTGACAAATATGAATGGGTAAGGGGAAAGGTTACACACAGTACATTTGTACACAAAATGTAAAGAAAACCACAATACTGAGATTTTCTTCCCACACTTCACAAACAAAAACTTACTGTCACCAGATACTTAAATGACAGTGTCTTTATCTAACACATCCTATTCCTATCTCTATCTAGATGTAACAGACCTTTCAATAATGAGGCAATACAGTTGTGACAACAAAAGTGCAGTGGTGATTCTTTTCCTCTTAGTGCATCCGCATCTGTAAGAAACACACAGCATAACAGCAACACATCTGTATGAGCAACACCCCCTAGAGGCTGCAACTCATACAACATCACAGTTTAAGGCAATGGCAATCTAAAGCTCAATTTAGAAGTCCACCCCTGACTAGTTTGCCACCTAGTGGTCAAACCGAAAAAAAGCAACATACCACTGTGGTGCAAATAATTTAAAAAAATATATATAGTTGGTTCTTGCTTGTAGGATGTCTATCAGTTCACCTGCAGAGGAAAAAATAAAATCCTAACTATACACTTGGAATAAGAAGCCTAGTGCTCCCCACCCAACAGTCCTCTTCAATGGTATCTCTCAACACACACTATAGTGGATGAGAAGGAGATGAAAAACTTCTTCAGGGACAAACTAAAAAACATTCCCCTTTTCTGAATATCATCCAGCACACACACTTGGGTGGCTGAAGGTCTTTTCTTGTAACCCAACTAAAAAACTGTTACCAACTCAATCAGGAACAGTGCCATCCATAAAAGAAAACATTGGAATTAAAAGGTACAGCAAACGGAGGAAGCCTCCTCTCCTACTTGTAATACTGAGGATCAGGCAGAGTGGCCGGTTTTCCTTTAGCATCAATGGTGGTGATACTTACGATTTAATCCTCACGACTAGGCCTCTGGATGACAACTTTTAAAGATGTATCTGCCATACTTCCAGGTGTCCATTCAGGTGTCCAAATTATTGATGAATAAGAGATCAAGTCTCTTGTTCCGGTAAGGCTTGGGAATACCCAGGAACTCCCACACAGCTTCTCTACACCACTCCTCTTTGATGCGTTCAATTTCTTACATAACATCTTCAGGGACATATGGAAACTCTAACCCATACTCAGTGGCAACTTTACGTTGGACAACACGCTGCAGCCATGACAACTTGCTCATCTTAGATGTATCACCTTGCCTGGGCAGCACATATGAATCCGGTGACTTCCTCACATACACCGCATTAGACATGGTTTCAGCAACAGACTTGGCTTCTGTACGTGGTAGGGATTCATCTGTAATAGGACAGTCAGATTGTTGGATCTTACAATCCTGCCTTCCTCTCACTCACACGCGCAGCCGCTGCTGGCATTGATTCTTGGCCAGTGATCTCTGTGGGCTCAGGATCAGCCAGAGCAGAGTCTTGAGCCAGGTTGCACTCCTCATCAGACACAGCACCCCAATGATGCATGGGATGGGACATAACACTGCCCTCTCCCTGCTCAGCCTCACTCTCATGGCACAGAGGTTGTTCAGGGATCCCCCCTGGCATAATCACTCCTGCTGCTACTGCCATCCCAGCACTGATAACCCCAGAGTCCTCACCGTCAGAAGAGCTGGTCAGGCATCCCGGAGAGTTGGTAGCTTCTTCCGATGCACCAAACACTCGTCCACGGGCTCTGCACAAGAATAGCTGAGCTGTCTTGCAGTGAAATAGTTTTGCCTTCCAGCCGATGCAGAGATATTCGCTTCTTTTCACAATGGGACCGGTGTCCCCAGTCACAGCAGAGGAAACGCTAGCGGGTTCTCTCTGGGTGAAACTTGTGGTCCAATCCACACGGAGGATGCCGGATGGCAGGTTCTCCTTCCCAGGGGTTAGCAGAAACTGTCCGCAGCCTTCACATCTGGTCCAGGCACGGATATACATCAAAATCTTCCCACAGCTGCCACAGGAAAGGCCGGTCAGCTCTTGACCTCCCATAGCACATATGGCGATACGACCATTCAATTCCAGGCGTAGGCTGGTATCTACAACGGTACCTTGGCCATAGGGCACCACTCCAGCCGGGGCTCCAGAAGGGCTCAGCCGAGCTCCTCCAATGCTACTCTTGGCAGAAGATGTGGCATAAGGCCGGTAAACGAAAGCCATCTTGCTTGCGTTGCTGCTTCACTCCCTCACCAACCCAAAGGCCGGTGAGTTCTGGAAACTTCTGGCGCCATCCCTGTCTCTTGTGACCAGTTGAAAAGGACATTTTATCCAATAAATGCACTTTCCTTTTCACAATAGCACAAACAATCACATGACACAGTTCCTGAGTTGCTAGGGGTGATTAGAGTCACCCCCAGTCCCAATGTCGGTTGCTATGGGTTACTGCAGCACACAATCTCACAAAAACGGCTCAAGGCGGCTAGGAAGATCCCGGACGAGTCCCCACGTGTAGCGCTCACCCCCTAAGGAGCCACTGGATGATCGGGTCTTCCATAGCCTGTCTAGGGATTGCTAAGCACCTGGCTGCCCCAATAGCACTTACCACCTCCAGTGGCGACCGACAAAGCGAAGTCCAGACAGTAGATAAAAGCTGAATCTCTTTTATTGCTGAACTTCGTGGAGACAGGGTCAGGCGCATCCAGGACGAGGTAGACTCCTTTAAGATATAGAACACAGTAACGTCTGTCATTACAGACTAGGACCTTTAAGCCAAACCGGCAATCTGTGCAGAGAACATCAGGCAAAGAAGTACTTCAGAAGTCCTCGTACATGTTCATCTCCAGAATCAGTGGCTGACCACTGGATCTCCAGACTCAGGCCCCAGTGTCAGTATCAGGCTAGTCCCCAGACTTAGGCCCAGCCAGTTCAGTCTCTCAGCAGCCTCCCCCCGGGGAGGCCCGGGGGAGGGGAGAGACTGTTGCATCTGCCACACTGAGCATTTATACCCTCTCCAAGCATGCATCACTGGCCTGTACCTTCCAGTGATTGGCTAGCAGACACAAATGCTCAGAACAATCCTTATTGGCTGCTCTGCTCTGTGTGGCACAACACACCCAGCAACAGGCAGATGCAGCATCCACAGATTGTTCTGAAGAAATTGATATGAACACAAACTACAACTTTATCTCAGACTAAGTACAGTCTGAGAACAACTAAATTTTATAGCACTCCTGTTGGCAGGGTGCTACACATTTATATATTTCAACGTTTTTTTATTTTTAGGATGAAAATATTTATCTCCAGTTTTTATAGCAAAAAAAACTTATTTTACTTATAGTAAAAAAAACTGACAGCATTTCTAAACCTTCCCTCCTTCTATCCAAAACTTAAAAAAAAAAAAAAAAACTTTGGCTGGGATTCTACTACTAATGTGAAATCCATTCTACTTTTTATATAAAATGAAACTCTGTAGGCAGAGGAGATGGAATGAGGGTTACGTTTAAAGGATTTATCTTAACACTGGTACAAGACTGGTCTTGCATATATTACAAATGCAACCATCTATTACATTGCAGTGTGAAAATCTATTTATGAATATGTGTGGATGAACAGTTGTTAACCTTACTGACTACAGTTTTAAATTTGGTTTAAATGCTGGTATAATGCATAGCATATGAGTTGACCTGACCATAGATATTATGATCAGATTGTATAGTTCACTAAATAGTTGTACAGCTAATTGAAACTGTGCATAGATATGTAATATACAATTATTGAGTACGTTGCTGTAAAAAAGTAATAGGGTAAGCTGGACTGGTGATGCTCTTTTTTTTAATTCCTGTGTGTGTAATTTTTTTTTCTTTGCAAGACATACAGTATATGAATGCATTCTCTCTTTAAGCATTATGTTGGAAAATACAATCTTGTGTAAATAATATACTTTCAAATATTTTGCCAAATAATCACTTTTGTTCCATATTTTACCTAAGAGTAGTTTTTAACCTAAGTCTTTAACTTATTTTTTTTTTTTTAGCTTTACATGTGGTTTGCTCTTCGTGACATTGAGTTCTGGTTTACTCCAGGATTTAAAGAATAACTGCACTTTTAATGAAAAATGCATCCTTACAACAGGCAGGCCATATATGTTACCAAAGCATAACTTTAAAATTGCAACTGTTTGAAGCAGAAATCTGTTTGAGTTGTCCAGCTAGTATGGGGCTGCCACAGTGTTCACATCTTTAAGTTCTCCTGAATGGTAACACAAAGGGCAGGAAGCATAAGGAGGATTGGGTAAATGGTTTGTATCAGGATGGCAAATCATTTATAAGATCCAACCTAACACTCCCTCCCCCATATCTTCCTCTACATACCTCCTACCTTACAGTGTTACACAGGAGATTAAAAATGTAAATGCATTTTATGAACAGTGCATTCACCTTTAAAAAATAAGTCTACCTGAAACTGATATTCTGCTGAATGGACAAAGGTGGGTTGTATTACCTGCTAGCTTGTTAAATGTCTTGAGGATTCCATTGGCGAGGTATCGTCTTTATTATATTCTTACTTCACCCCATCATTGAAGGTATTACAAGGGTACTATACTGTCGTGGCAATTTACAGTGAAGATTTTACAATATATAGAGTGGTGCTTTGTTCCGGCTTTATAATGGAAGCGTTATCATGACCCAATGCATGTAATACATGTGCTAGCTTAATTTAATCTAAAGAAAAACACATTGCAACAGATATAATTGCAAATCTCCTAAATGACACACCAGTGTAATATTTTTAACATTTACATTCATGACTTGATCTTTGGACCTAATATTTCAATGTATGCTTTATACCTCTTGTATAAGGCTTGCACCTTTCTCTTCTGCTTTCTCGTCTCATTCTTAGTTGCCCCTACGTCTCCAGTATCTCCCACAGAAGCACCCACAAAAATTCCAACTGGTCACCTGACCACTCCGGGTACTACTACTACTACTGTTACTACTACTACTACGACTAGCACAACCCTCTCTACAACCACCTTCATTACTGCTACTGAAATCAGACAAACAGTGGTTAGCATCCACGAAATAGGTACTGACCACCTTAAAGGGTTGATTTTATAACGAACATGCCACACATAGCTTTTCAATTTTTCTTTATTATAGATTATGTAGATAGAATGAAAACATCCTAAATTAAACCAAAAATTTGATTTGTCTGGGTATTTTGTAATGTAGGTGTTTGTGTTGGGCAGATTGCACAATTGTAACTTGTGTGTGTATCACATAATGGGGTTGATTTACTAAAGGAGTAGAGCATGTTTACTTTGAAAAGTGAATGTTAACTTAACTAAGTAAATAAGGAGAAAACTCACTTTGCAAAGAATACCTCATTATGTGAAGGAGAATTAAAAAAAACATGATTTTTACTCTCACAATTGAATGATTGAAGTAAGCTCAGCCTGACCGCACTAATTTAAGGAAAAATTAACTTTGCAAAGTGAACATACTCTATTTCTTTAGTAAATCACTCCAATGAGTATCAATATAAATTCAGAAGTTAATTGGTGCTCTAAAACATCCTTGGCAGAAACAGGTTTTCTTCTTCCTTTTCTGAGTTTCTGTTTATATAAGCTGTAGGAGAACCATACAGAAAATGATCAAGCTGTATATTCTTTATATAAACTGCATTTTATTATTGAAATTATTGAAACTGTATTAGCAGGAATCACCTGCTTTTTTGAACCATAGGAATAAATACTTATTTACAACACCTCTTACTTTACTAAGCATACATCGACGAAGGTATATACGTTAATAGTAAAGAATGGAAATAGTATTATTCGAAGGACATACATATATACAATAGACAAACATAAGGCCTATTCACACCAGCAACGTTGGGCTATGTTGCCCTGATGGAGTTCTAAGCTGCATTAATTACAGCAATAATGACCAACTTTAATAAAGCCATGCTTGGAGTGACAGCAACGGATGGTGCCATGCAGAGTAACCGTGAATTCAAGTCACCAGTGCTCCGTTGAAGGTGAAATAACCAACTCGTATTTATTCAGAAAAGCATCATATAGGTTAATACTCCTACGTTTTGAGGATGTGCAGGGTCCCTTCCTCCAGGAAACATACTTTGGTGTGGGGAGGACTTCTCTTCAATTCAGGGTTACATTGCCAAACACAGTCACAAGGCAATTAGCCTTATGTTGATATGAAAATCCTGTATAATAATAGTATTGTCCTGAGGTTTTAGTTCAACCAGCCACCCTGTTGGTGTGCAATGAAAAAAAAACCTGAGATGTTGCATGTATGTGTGGTGCATTCCACCATACTGAAGCACATTGCAACAAGCTGCAGCGACTATAAATAACATTAGAAGTAAAAAGAAAAAACATTGTAATGTGTGTTAAAATCGCATTGCAAGTTAAAATGTACCATTGTGCATGTGAAAGTGCCCTTGCAAAGAAGACTCAATTGTTTAAGTGAATTTATTTCCTTTGCCAAAAACAAAAATATGTATATTTTAAAAACACTAGACACCCAGCTTGCAAGGATTTTTCCCTAAATAAAATTCTGTTGGTCCTAACCTGTTTTGAATCACTTTCCTAGCAACATCTGGACAACCTATTTGGAACATCACAGCTTTGCCCAACAGCCACTGGGCAAACATCACCTGGATGCATAACTTAGGGCCTGGCTCTGAGTTTATGGTTGAGTATATTGATAGTAAGCATCACTTCAGCATGTGTATTGTGTGTAGCCATAATGGATTTTTTTAGCTACCACATACAATCACCTACCGGTACTGCTGCACCATGATTGAGCATAGCACAAAAAGACACTCCGGGAGCTGGCTCTGAAGACTGTTTATATGCCTGCACTTGCTTGCTGTCATATAATTACCTTGTATATGTATTATAGGAACACACACACACGCAATAGCATACAGCAAATTAAAGTAATGGAAAAGTCAGAATTCCTTATCTCTTTCCAATACTAGATCAGTAACTCCGAAAGTATTATGGCCAAATCATCAGCAAGATAGCCTGGCAACTAACATTTCCAGAAGAACAGGTCTGCAATCGCATACTAGACATTTCTCCCAAGACAGGTTTCCATTAACTGACACACTCAAAGGGTAATTTACTAAAAGAATCATTTTACAGACATAAACATCCAGACAGCCTCATAGAATTTTCAGATTTATTTTTACAAATTAATTAAATAGTAAACATTAGGTGGTAAATTGACAGTTTTATTTAAGCCTACCAGCCTAAGTCCAGGATTATGGCCAACATTTAAAGAAAATAGCATTTGTCAATTCAGTTTATGCAGCATAAATGTGCTCTATATAATGATACTTTCTGGCTCTTTATGATTAAAATAAAGCAAATATTATTTTAATAAGAGAAATATGGAGAATGTCATTGCCAACCTCCTAAAAATGCTAATTGCCTGGCTTTCTCTGGCACCAATACTTTTGATAAACTGGAATCAGCATACAGCTAAAAAAAAAAAAAGATTGAACTCCTGATCTGCATTCTTATTCAAGTAAGCTTTTGGTCAACATAATATTCAGACAACTAGTATTTTTAAAATTTAGTCCAGCGGTGGCACCCTGTGCATTATCTTAGTATGAATTTTCTTTAACACTTCAATCTTTTAAATTATTACAAAAAAAAAGAATTTGTTGTGCATTCCTATGGGGCATTTTATCAACACAAAACCTGGAAACTTACACAACTTTACCTGCCTAATTACAGTGATTTACCAGGCTGAGATGAGAGCTGAGGATGAGAGCCTTCTTGGTCTTGACATTTCTCTAATGGGCATGCATATAAAGCAGTTAGTGTGACTTTCACCATTTGCTGGTGATGAATCAATCAATCATTCACTGTCACTTAAAAAAAACATGCATCAGCAAGAAATGTTTGGTGAATGTCAGATTCATTGCTTTATAAGTTTGTTCCTAAATTTCCCACTCCTGGAGTGTCCGTTTTGCGCTTAATCAGCTTGTTAGATCAGGTTGAGTGCTATTTTTGCATAGAAATCTATAGGAACTTTCATCATATGTTTTTGAGAATATAAAAAAAAATCATAAAAAAAGAGCATATTTATTTTTTCTTTTATTAGTGTGTTATGTAATCACAATGTGTTGAAAATAGCACAACTCCAAATTCCAAAACTGTCTAAAATAGCAGTGTTCTGAACTAACAACACATTACATATCCAAAAGCACAGAAGAATATTTTCATCTTTCTCTAGGGTGGAAGTTCCTATATGTGACTATGGATTTGAGACATTTTATGTATATATATATATAAGGTGGCCAGTTGCTTATGGTAAATGAATATGTCTGGCATGGCATTTTGCCCATTCGTTATGTTTTCTTTTTTAGTAAAATAAAGGTTTTGTCACCTCCATGTATTGAAATGTTTTTGGCTTATATGCATTGCGCTGAATTTGCCTTGCGTGTGTGTTCGATTGCCATGCTTCATGTCAACAGCTTCCATATTGTCTACTACCAACGGACAGAGCCACATGGCTGCACTAATGGTGATGAGACTTATAAAATATAAGTGTCTTATATTGTGCTGAGTATAAACCAATGATAAACATTGTAGGGTTATTATCAAATGGTGTACAGACTGCAACGCAGACATCTGCTACAATGATGTTTATAATGGTTTTCTGCTTGTCTTTGACAGATTGTATGGCATCAGTTGCCCATAGTAGCATGTTGTATAACAGTATGCACAGAATTTTGGTAAAACAGTTGGTCTAGATGTCAGGTTTATGCACATGAGTATTGTGCACGCCTATGTCTATATTAAAAGACTAACATACAAATATGGTACATTTCGTGGACTTGATTTTTTATGTGAATTGCTGGGATTGGGTATTATATTTATTTTATATATATTTTCTTTTTACTTACCAGTAAAGGAAATACTGTGGTTTATGTCTTTCACTGTAGAAAATCTAAAGAGATTTGCAACTGCAGGCCCATACCAAAAAAGAGTAGAGGTTCCCTGCTTCCTTCTAGGATGCCATGGTCTACATTAAGCTAGCATGAAGAAGGCTCTTCCCTGCAAAATCTTATCACAGTTGACCGTATTACAGAAAATTATTGTGTCACTGATATAATAATTGGCACAGGGACTTTCTTGAAAATAATGCTATGCAAATTCAATTTAAAGTGGAAATCTAACTAAATCTTTATGTCTAGAGTAATAAAGTATAGAAAGGTTATAAAATTTGGCAAGGTTTATTGCTGCCTGTGTCTACTTAATGAGATTCATTGTCATTTCCTTGTCCAAAAAACACTCGTTATCAAAACAGGAAGTGAGGGGAAATATCTACAACTGGGACACAGATAGTAATAAAAACACAGATAGCAATTCCCCACTAAACTAAAATTGTGGTGTTTGGACCTCTAGAAACTATACTTAGCGGTGATGTCCAAATATTGATAGACTGGGCAAGGACTGGGGACTAGATAGGGGCTGTTTCAAATTCACATGTTAGATTCGTACATTTTGATCATTGTGGTATGCAGTTTTATGGCCAGAAGGCATTGTTTCTGATTTAAAGCCATTATCTGTGTGTATGTGGGTCTGCAGCACATTGCATGAAACCTTTGCTCTGGCTTTCCTCTCCATCTCCTGCTCTCCACTCAGCCGACATTCATCCTTAGCTCTTTCCTATCAGGTAATAACATGAACAGAACTGTTCCAGTTAAGGGTCATCCCCCCTCAATTCAGCTGTCTGACCTGGTCCCCGGGATGACCTACCGAGTACGGGTTTATTCCCGGGAGCACCACTCAGTCACAAGCCCATACGTGACGTTCGAGACCAGCTCAGGTGAGGGCTTTGTGTTCCTTCAATGGCAACACAGGTACAATCTTTGACGCATGTGCATGGGGGGGGGGGGGGGGGCTTTGGGGAAAAATAGCTTGTAAAATGAAATTCAGATTGAAAACTGATACATTTTTATAACATAAAGTTGAAAGGGGCAAAAGTATAATTGGAGACATTTTTAAATTTTGCAGATAGTATATTAGTATACTATCTGAAAAGTTTATCTCTTATCAATCTATCCATGTAATCTATCTATCTATCTATCTATCTATCTATCTATCTATCTATCTATCTATCTATCTATCTATCTATCTGTACTACTCTATCTACCTACTCTACTATGTATCACTTTAGGCAAAACTTCATATTTTGCAAATATTTATATGTTTTGTACAGTATAGCAAGTCCTTAATATGTGCAAAATGAAACCTGTTTACCTAATAAAGGTGGAGGTTAAAGCAGTTACCCAGTCAGTAATCTTATGGGGTCCTTTGCATTTAATATATTCTTTTCAGGCTAATACGGCAGCTCAAAAAGCAAAGCATAATTTCAACGAATTATAGCAATTATAAATTATCTTTAATTGCTCTGAATACAGAATTGTGTGCTATGAGTTACTATTTTATTAAACAAGCTTGTTTTGTTGTCAAAGAAGGATGTACTGTAAAATGCTGTGCATTCAAGATTTCCATCAAACCGCTTTTATCCGTTTTAAATGGAAGTTGCTATTTTGTAATGTGTGCTAGAACCTTCCTAATTGGTGTACGCCTTATCTTCCTTGTTTGATTAAGCTTTTAAAATTGCTATCATGAACCCACTTTTATATTGCAAAATATTAGATGTAATATTAAGTGATCACAATCAGTTGCAAATATTGATTATTATTCTTACCATACTGCAAAATATGTATATTATTTCTGTGGATAGGATCTCCTGATCATAGAAATGTATTTATGCTTTTTTTTGGTAAATTAGATCATGTCATGTGATATAAATACATGTTTTACCTTTAAGCTCTACATTGTTTTATGATCAAATTTCTTGCAAGATGTCGCTTTGTTGCAGAAATGCACATTTACATTTTGTCCACACACTATTGTTCCATTACTCTAGGCTAAGTTCTGTTTTTTACTCCTTTGCTTTTTTGACTGTCTAATTACAGAGCTTCCTTTCTTCGATCCTCAACAGCCCCCCTGGTTACTTGGTCTCTTCACATGAGCTCCAGAGAAACTGTGTGATTGGCCCATACATACCAACCTTCTATCCTGTAGAGAGACTCTAAAAAGACTACTGTCTCAGAGTTGAAGGACAAGGTTGGGGCTCTGTCTTCTACAGTCCCGATGATATACAAGCTTCCATCATTGTTTTAATACCGTTTAAACTATTTTTCCTCCCTTTGTGGATTATGTATTATTTGCTTTACATACACATTGCTGTTTGCTATGTTTATATAAGGTCAAGTACGTCTATATGACCAATGGTTTTCTTACCTCTGGCAGCTTACACAAAGAACCAAGTAGACATTGCCACTCAAGGTTGGTTCATTGGGCTCATGTGTGCTGTTGCTCTGCTTGTACTTATCCTGTTGATTGTGTGCTTCATCAAGAGGAGTCGAGGAGGCAAATACCCAGGTAATAGGCAAATTTGTTGACAGCATCACAGATGATTGGAAAAAGTCATTTATTTTCTTCATTAAATTTAAACATGTAAGGTCATTAACGAAAAAGTAAACAAACTCTGACAGAATGCATATTTTAAAACTAATAGAATATTTTGAATATTAGAACGTATTTATAACATAATATAATATTAGCATACTATTATAATGTTATAAAATATATTTTATTATATAACATCTTTATTATCACAGATAAGAAAATAATCACACTCCACACTCTTCTACTGCACATACTGGCCACCAACATACCTTCTGCACTCCACTTCTACACATGCTGGCCACTATTATGCTGTCTCCACTTCTGTTCTGCACATGCTGCCCCACCACATATGCTGTGCATTTATCCCCTGCACATACCACACACACTCTCATACTCTCAACACTGCTTTCCTGTACATACTGGCTGTCATCATACCCTGCAGCACTTCTCTGCTGCACATAGTGCCCTTCCTTGTACCTTCTAGCACTCCTCACCTGTACATTTTGGCCACCACTATACACGCCAGCACTACTTTCCTGCACATACTACCCATCATCATCATCATCCTCCGACACCCCACTCTTGCACATGCAGCCTACCATAGTACCCTCCGCTCTCCTACAAATACGCCCAGCTGCGTATCTCCCACACTTTCCTCTTGCACATAATGCCCCACTTCACACACTCTGCACTTCTATCCTGAACATCAGCCTGCTCTCATCTCCACACTCCTCTGCTGTAGATACTGCCCACCCTCATACCCACCTCACATCTCACATCTGTCCTGCACAATCTACACGCCCTTATACCCTCCACACTTCTCTCTTGCACTTACTGCTCACTGTCATACCCTTCTCACTCTTCTCCTGCACATACCACCTGCTGTAAACCCACCACACTTTTTTCCTGAATGTACTGCATAGCCTCCACACTCTTCTTCTTTACCCACAGCCCACTGTCCCAAACTACCCAATCTTCTCTTAAACATATAGTCAGATCACATACCACTGCATGCTACTGCTACTCAAACTACTCACTGTTATACCAGGTCTCATGTCCTGCACATACTGCCCAATGCTGGATCCTCTGTTATTCCTCTTTTGCACATACTGCCTTCTGACATACTCTGTTTTCTTCTCCTGTTCCTACTCCTCACCATCATACCGTCTGGTACTCCTCTACTGCACATACAGGTTGTTGTCATACCCTCCAGTAATCTAGTTCTGCACATACTGGACACTGCCCAGTACTGGACACTGCATTTCTGTATATACTGCCTGCGGAAACACTTCTGCTGGTTCTTGATATTCCCAACTATGCTCCTTCTGAGACGGGCACACTTTTTTAGTAGTCAATAATTTTAGTGATGGGGCATGATGGGAAATTATATAAAAGTCCACTTTGATTTGTTGTACTCTTTAGTGCGAGAGAAAAAGGAAGTGGCTTTGGGTGCTGAAGATCAGAAGGATGAGGATGGATCATTTGATTACAGGTAAGGATAGATCCAAAATGATGTATTAACCCCTCCGGAACATTTTGCACCACAGCTGGCCACACCATTTTTGCAATTTTTCCCATTGATTTGATTTTTCTATTGCTGCGTTGCTAGCGTTTGTAAAAGACCCCCAAACCATATATTTTATGAAAGCACAGGCCTGGTAGAAAAAAAAGATGGTGCTACTAAATTTGTAGGCCCTGCGATAATTGTGCAAATGTTTCTCAAATTAATATTAAACGGATTAAAAATACACAATTCAATTGATAAAGCACACTAAAATTAGTATCAGTGTACAAAAAAAATATTTTCTGACTAAATCTAAAAGCTAAAACTGTATTGAGTTAATAAATAACAAATATTTGCAAATTTTAAATTGCGCCTTTTTGTGACAAGGTAAAAAAAATGTAGGAACGCAAAACTGTGTATAAGCAACTTTTGTTAAAAATCGTTTTTGCGATGTGTTGGTGTTTGTGTTGTGATAAAATGATACAGGCGTATATTTAATTGCAACACAAGGTACAGGCGTATGGCAATGCATCACAAAACTTTGCCATGCGCGGCCACAGTTAATGTTTTTTCAACAGAAAACATTTTTAAAAAATCATGAACTGTGAAGCGTTCTAACAACGCACTGCAGCGCATGTGCATGGCGTACACCACAATCTGGTGCTCGTGTATGTTATGTGTGTGGAGGGGAGGGTTGTGCTTTTTTTTTATTAATGTATTTATTTTTTACACATTTTATTTATTTATTTTTACTGTTGGGAGGGGGGGGGGTGGCTTTGGGGAAATATTAGAGGTCTAGACAGACCCCTGACATTTCCCTTTTGAAATAGAAAAATAAATTAAGGACACCGAGTGCTCAATTTCTTTTTCTGCAGCCTGAGCACTCAATGAATGGGAAGCACTCGGTACAGAGGCTTCCCATCATACAGAGACTGTTGATAGTAAAATATTTACGATCACCAGTTTCTGAATACTGAAAAGCCTCTGTAGTGAGTAGGGATGTCCCAATACTACTTTTTTAAGACCAAGTACAAGTACTTGCCCTCAGGTACTTTCCGATACCAATTACCAATACTTTTTCTTAAAGGGACATGTGACATTTTTTCTAAAACAACACAGACTAATGATTTTAGGGCAGTTTCCCACCCGGGCTAAATACAGATGTCCCCAAAGCAGAATACAGATGTCTGCAAAGCACAATACACGTCCCCAGAGCACACTACATCCCAGCAGAGCACAATACATCCCACCATATCAGCACAATACATCCCACCACATCTGCACAATAAATCCCACAGCATCTGCACAATAAATCCTACAACATCTGCACGATAGATCTCACAGCATCTGCACGATAGATCTCACAGCATCTGCACGATAGATCCCACAGCATCTGCACGATAGATCCCACAGCATCTGCACGATAGATCCCACAGCATCTGCACGATAGATCCCACAACATCTGCACAATAGATCCCACAACATCTGCACACTAAATCCCACAGCATCTGCACAATAGATCCCACAGCAGCACATTACATACCACCAGAGCAGAAGGTTGCAGTCTCAGCTGGGCGGCATGTGGATCTCTGCAGGGCTCTCAGGTGATCTGACGGGTGCCGGTGTTCGGGGCTGTGCTGTGGCAGGAAGAAGGAGTAGGAGGTATAGAAACGGACAGGCACTGCCATGAAGCTACCGTCAGGACTCCAGCAGGCTGCCGAAGACCCGACAAAATTTTAAAGGGCCGGCATCGGCCTTAAGAATCGGGGCATTTTCAGGAGTACAAGTACTCCTGAAAATGCTTGGTATCGGTATCAGGACATCCCTAGTAGTGAGTGCTTCTCCCCATTGAGAAATTCATGAATGAACAGGAAGTGATGTAAAATCCTGTTCATTCATAACTGGGGACCATAGTACTATGTGCCCCCAGTTATTTACAAACACTGGAGTGATTAAACGATCACTCCAGTGTTTGCTCTGCACAGAGGATCGGTAAATATCACTGATATTTACCGATCCTCCGCTCGGCCACGCACAGAGCCGCTGTCATCCGGAAACTGACAGGATGACAGCGGCTCCAATCTCCTCACCGCTCGGCCATCCTGGCAGCCATTTCTCCTTGGATCGTCTCTGCCTCAGCCCATATAAGCTGGGGAAAGCAGCGGGGACCCATGGAGTCACAGATCCCTGCCTGGAGAGGCTGCAGATGACCCGGAATTTTTGTTAATAGCTGCCCCACTGATGACAGCTATTAATTTAAGGGGGGACTGTCCAGGGAACAGTTCTGCTATAAGTTCATGGTTGCTAAAGCGATCACATAGCAGAACTGTAAATGCCACCGCCGTAAGGCATACTGACCTGGCGTTTCAGGAACAGTTTTGTTCCGCCGTATATATTACGGCGGTGGCAGGGAAAGGGTTGATACCTATCAAAAAAACTTACATGCATATACATTACAGATAAATACAACTAATAAACTATTTTGTAATACAGTGTATATTGATTTAATGTTTACATATCTTTAAGTAAAATGTATAAAAAAACTAAACGGAGTATTGTAGTATGTGATGATACCTTTCTTATTGGACTAACAAAATATATAAAAGACAAGCTTTCGAGAGTTAACCTCTCTTCTTCAGGTCAGAAGCAATACTAATCAACATGACAAGGTTTACCACTTAAAGCAAGAGAAAGTTGTTAGGGAGGGGGGGTGAGTGGGGTGTCATAAATGTTGGACCTGGGAGTAAAGAATGTATCCTGATAACTAGAACACAGAACAAATAAACAGAGAGGTTAACTCTCGAAAGCTTGTCTTTTACATATTTTGTTAGTTCAATAAGAAAGGTATCATCGCATACTACAATACTCCGTTTTGTTTTTGGTTTTTTTATACATCTTCTCTACTAGACTAATACGGCTTACCCGTTTACATTACACTACAATTTAAGTAAAATGCTACATATAGTATATGTAACAATAACTATGTAGTGCTTACACTTGTAATAGACTTGTAATAGACAACCATGAGATGAACATCCCCTTAATACCTAAATCATACAATATTACATATACCACAAAGTGTATAAATCAGGGGAAGTCCAACTTTGGCCCTCCAAAAATCCCATCATGTATTAGCCTCTGGAAGTCATTCCTGTGGCTGCCAGAGTCTTGCAATGCCTTGTGTGACTTCTAGTTCCACAACAGTCTTGGTATCGGTATCAGGACATCCCTAGTAGTGAGTGCTTCTCCCCATTGAGAAATTCATGAATGAACAGGAAGTGATGTAAAATCCTGTTCATTCATAACTGGGGACCATAGTACTATGTGCCCCCAGTTATTTACAAACACTGGAGTGATTAAACGATCACTCCAGTGTTTGCTCTGCACAGAGGATCGGTAAATATCACTGATATTTACCGATCCTCCGCTCGGCCACGCACAGAGCCGCTGTCATCCGGAAACTGACAGGATGACAGCGGCTCCAATCTCCTCACCGCTCGGCCATCCTGGCAGCCATTTCTCCTTGGATCGTCTCTGCCTCAGCCCATATAAGCTGGGGAAAGCAGCGGGGACCCATGGAGTCACAGATCCCTGCCTGGAGAGGCTGCAGATGACCCGGAATTTTTGTTAATAGCTGCCCCACTGATGACAGCTATTAATTTAAGGGGGGACTGTCCAGGGAACAGTTCTGCTATAAGTTCATGGTTGCTAAAGCGATCACATAGCAGAACTGTAAATGCCACCGCCGTAAGGCATACTGACCTGGCGTTTCAGGAACAGTTTTGTTCCGCCGTATATATTACGGCGGTGGCAGGGAAAGGGTTGATACCTATCAAAAAAACTTACATGCATATACATTACAGATAAATACAACTAATAAACTATTTTGTAATACAGTGTATATTGATTTAATGTTTACATATCTTTAAGTAAAATGTATAAAAAAACTAAACGGAGTATTGTAGTATGTGATGATACCTTTCTTATTGGACTAACAAAATATATAAAAGACAAGCTTTCGAGAGTTAACCTCTCTTCTTCAGGTCAGAAGCAATACTAATCAACATGACAAGGTTTACCACTTAAAGCAAGAGAAAGTTGTTAGGGAGGGGGGGTGAGTGGGGTGTCATAAATGTTGGACCTGGGAGTAAAGAATGTATCCTGATAACTAGAACACAGAACAAATAAACAGAGAGGTTAACTCTCGAAAGCTTGTCTTTTACATATTTTGTTAGTTCAATAAGAAAGGTATCATCGCATACTACAATACTCCGTTTTGTTTTTGGTTTTTTTATACATCTTCTCTACTAGACTAATACGGCTTACCCGTTTACATTACACTACAATTTAAGTAAAATGCTACATATAGTATATGTAACAATAACTATGTAGTGCTTACACTTGTAATAGACTTGTAATAGACAACCATGAGATGAACATCCCCTTAATACCTAAATCATACAATATTACATATACCACAAAGTGTATAAATCAGGGGAAGTCCAACTTTGGCCCTCCAAAAATCCCATCATGTATTAGCCTCTGGAAGTCATTCCTGTGGCTGCCAGAGTCTTGCAATGCCTTGTGTGACTTCTAGTTCCACAACAGCTGGAAGGCCAAAATGTGGCTACCCCTGGAATAAATCAACAATGTTCCAATCTCCAAACATCACAGTGAACAGTCCTCTTTTGAAATCTTTAATCCTCCTGTTTTCTTAATCCGATTCCCCTTGTCACACAATGTTTCCATCTCAAATTGAAAAATCATTAATCTTTTCCATTACATTTCTATCACGGAAAGGTAAACGTGCTCATTGATTTCCGTGGTGAAATATGGAATCTTCTCAGTTTCTCATCACCATATATCAACCAAATAAAATAAGAAATAAAAACAGATAGTGTAAAACCATTAGTGTAAAACCATTACAGATTGCAACTCACATGATCCTAGTGCATACAAGCAGTAAACAAAGTGAAAAGTGTTCATTACACACTGAGAACTCGTCCGGCTCCGCCGAGTTCTCAGTGTGTAATGACAGTTCAATGACGGGATTTAATAAGGGAAATACAAGGACGGACATACAATATTTTGCGTTTTTAGGGATTTATTTGGCTAAAGCGTTTATTCATTTGCAGTCAGAAGCCTTAAAGAGGTAGTGAAATACGTATTTGTAATGAACGCAGGCTTGGAAATTCAGCCAATTATATAGTGTCTAATACTAAATCATTAAAGGGAAAAAAAAACTACATTACAATATATTTGTTTGTGAGACCCGATAGAAGAAAGGTTTGCTGAAATGATGGATATATTATACCTTTTTGAAAATGCTCAACATACAGTAATTACACATATATATATCACGGCGGCTCTGCCGAGTTCTCATTGTAATGACAGATCAGCGTCCCCTGGTTACCTGGTAACCAGGGGACGCTGATGTGACATTGCAAGTGGCCGGAGCCATCCGTGAGATGACGCTGCCTCCGTCCAGCTGCCAGTTGCAGGCTTTCGGCCCGCTTTGGCTTTTCACCACATATGCCTTCGGCTCGACTGAGCCACTCGGCCAACTTTAGGAGCTGTACGGGCTATAGTGAATAGCCCGAAAAGCATCCCTTCGGTTCTACTGAACCGAACGGCTCAGACGGCCGAAGCTAGCCAAAGGATCACTCAGAGCTATTGCTGATCCTTCGGCCAGCTTTGTGAATAACCCCCTGAGTATAGAGGATTCCTATTCATCATAGACTATAACTTCAATACAAATTAGTAAACGAAACGTGAGATTGTAGTCCATTACGGGAGTGAGCCTGGAGCGGTGGCTACCTTACAACACATGCAGGGACTATGGTGAACAAAAGTAGCCACACTCTAGAAGGAAGAACAGTATCAGCACCAATTCAGAGATGATTTGAGGATCTACAGCCGAGTGATACACAAATAAGCTATGTTTTTGTCAATAGTTAAGGTACTTGAATGCATTTTTAAGATTCAACTCCTGACTATAGTGTCACTTTTATAGGGCAAGAAGTGTTTGTTTAATGAAATACTGCAGATACTCAAAATAATTGATATACAATATATGTATTTCTTTACACATATTTAAGACATTAGTGAATAAGTGTCACATATTTGTTTTCAGCAAACAGAATGTTTCAGAAATATGTTAGTATCAGTCAGACTTGATAAGTGGTCAACACACCGGGTCACAGTGTCACACAAAGGACAGTGCCACTGTGTCATATCGGCCTGTGCATGTAACGTGTGTGCCTTTTGTTTCCTTCCTGCTCTCCAGGAAAGAGCACAGGTGAGGCACGCCACTGCTTACATGTCACCTTATGTGCGTTATGTGTGCTAGCAGCCTGCATATAGAACAACCAAAAGTCTGCTATGTTTTGGGGCCAAATTTAAAAATGGCTAAGTCATGTGTGCATCTATGTGGAAGTGAAAAAATAAAACAATGCACAAAGAGGAATCTGCTTAGCCAGGTCCAATCTCATAACTGTAACGCTGGTGTACTTAAATGTGATTTTCCCTTTTTAAGCTTTTTTTAAATCGAAACTGATAAGTGTCAGTAGATGTGTCCATGCTATAGCAGTGTGTGTGCTTTTCTTTCCAAATTCCTTATGTGTCCTACCATAGTACCATTTATTGTTTTGTTTTTCTGTCTCTGTATTCTTTTTTTTTGCCTTCCCTAAATAATTATATTTCCATTTCTTCCCATTAAGGTTTTTTGGAAGGTAGGATAAAGTTATTTGTCTGTAAAAGTAAAGCTGTCCTTATTGATACTAATGTTTATAAAATAACCTAGCTACTCCAGTAACTTGTGGCATAAAAAAAGGTGGAACATTAACCTTTTCAAACTAACTTGAATTCTACTGTACATAGAATATACAGTATGTGCTTTAGGAAGCTAACATAGATTAAAAAATATATAAAGTTGGAGCTTCTTCACTAGGCATACTGTCCATATGCCTGACAAAGAAGACTGTTGCTCCTGCAGCTTGCATTTTAATATTTTTTAGCTAGCCACTTTAAAGTATTATATCCTTGAAAATTGTTGCCTTTATATTAGGGATGGGGAAATTAGCGATTAATTCCTCGATTTAATCGTTAAACTTTTAGTTCATTTTATTACTTCATTGCAGTGCTGTATGTGTATAGGTCAATGTAGTTGGGTCTGCATGTGCGTTATAATCGAAATTAATTGATTTAAAAAAAATTAGATTAATCGAACACGAAAATTTATCATTACCAGCCCTACTTTATATCTATGCATTTATTCCTTACACAGTGCAATATTGGTTTTCTTTATAAAACTTGATAAACTCATTATAGTTCACAATTTGACCACTATATGCACTTGTACATTTACCACATGGTGCACTTTTTGGCAGATGCTGCCTTTTCATGAGATTTGCAATAAGCTCAATATTATTGAAAGAGAACTATGGGCCACCTTTTGCCCATAGTTCTCTTCAGAGTCACAGAAGGACATATACTAATGTCCTCCTGTCACCCAAAACTTAAGATATAGCGGGCTATTGCCTGCTATATGCTGACAGTGCCGAGCCGCACCGCAGCCGGGGCGGATCCCGACAATATTGTCGAGATCCACCCTGCTGCCTGAATGACAGCTGGCTCACTGTGCACGCCCCCTCCTCCATCTGTTCCTCCAGTCAGTACTGGAGAATCCGGGAGGGGATTAGGAATCCCTGCGGTGACTGACAGTCATCGCTCTCTGCAGGGAGAGAAACGGGAATGTGTTCCCTGGGTTTCCAATCAATAGAGCCAACCTGTGGCTGCTTCAGTGTCACAGGTCGACTTGAATTTCACTCACCCCATAGTTCTCCTTTAGGTGAGCTACATTATATACCACTGTAATTTAATCGTGTTGTAAAGTACATGAGCTCAACCTTTTCTGTGTTGTAGTTCCAAGAATCAAAATACCTTTTTTGTGAATTAAAAGGTAAATTACTTAAAGAACAATACCGGGGGGGGGGGGATAATAACCCTTGCATTAGGGCTACCTACAAAGGGGTTAGGGAAGGTTTTTTGGGGGGGGGGGGGATATTAACCCTTGCATTAGGGCTACCTACACAAGGGTTAAGGTAGGAAAATAGCAAAGTTATACTCACCCGATCCTCTGAGCTTGCTGGCTGAGACAGCAATCCCTCCAGCCTCTCTCCTCCTCCGTTGCAGTGATGGAATATTCCTCTGCATCCTCATGTTATATACACAGTATATAGGATGTGATGACTCAGGGACCTTAGACCACTGCAGAGGAGAGAGGCTGGAAGGATTGGTCTAACAACAAGCCGGCTTGGAGAATCGGGTGAGTGTAACTTTTTTATTTTAGTCCCTAGAGGAAAAGAAGCATTTAACCCTTGCATTGCACTGGCCCCACTGCTAGGGTTAATAAAATGTTTTCCCTTGGGGGTTTTTTTAACAATTAGTGAAATTGTTCTTTTTGTAACCCTTCCACTGATTGCACTGTGAAATATTGCATGATTTCTACCTAATGTATTAAAGTATGACATGGGAAGATAGGACACAGTTTCTACATTAGCAGCTAATTGTAGAGACTTCATGATTAATTGCTCATATAAAAAATGGATCAGAGGTAACCTGGTCCTTATTATTCACCACTAATTGTAATAAAATCACTGGTAGAGTAGAATTATTTGTGTAATGCTTCTATTTAAAATTGGAATTTGGGATCCAGATTTAGAGAAAAATACACAAACTGGGTTGAAAAACCACAAAATCAGAAGGACAAAACTAAAAATAATATTGCAAGTAAGGATAGTTCCTTTAAAAAAAGAGCAATAAATATTTATAAATTTGCAAAATGAGTCTATAACAATAGATGGTGGATTATTTTCATATCTATCGAAATATGATACGAAGTTGTAGAGACTTTGGAGAGCCTCTTTATAAATGAGCACATTTGTGAGTATTGATACTGTATTTCTCAGTGTTGATATTTCTCAGAAACCTTTACAAACAAGAACCTTTCCATAATATTGGAACACACAAAATATGTTTCCTCAGTTATTAAATAAATTATATATTTTTTAACAATATGCATTTTCCAAAAACTAATTGTGGAACCCCACTGGGAATCTAAATTACACCTTCTCATCTTGGCCTACATTGATACTACAAATGAAGAGGCACATAGAACCAATGACATTTCATTTTTCTTTATGCCAAAATACATCAGGAATCAGCTGATTATTTTCATTAAATTAATAAATTACATCTCAGCATTTCAGTCCAGCTACAAATATTCTAAAGCATATGCTGTTGAGCTTTCAAGAGGCATCCGGAGTCCTTGTAACTCAGTAGTGTGACAAAAGCTTATAATTCATCATCTAATGATAGAGCAGATATTATAGCAGTAATAAAGAGAGGAGATTCGTTTCCTTCATATTCTACATAGTTCCACAGCTAGAGCGCTGTGTACCTTACTAATAATATGCAATAGACCATCTGCCATTCTTTTAAGCTTTCTCGCTTCTTAACAAATATTTAATGCAAGCTGATAATATGAAGCAAGCTGACTTAACTTTTTTTTACTCCCTGCAGCAGTAGATAATAATCTACATCATTAGTAGATGTTCAGGCTACATAACACCCCACGTTTTGCATGCTCTCTTCACCCTGCTTCCCATTACTATTTAGTATAAATGGGCATTTAAATACCTTTGTTTACTTGGTCTTCTATGCAGTCACATGACTGCAAAGTCCCAGCTCCTGCTCTGTGTGATGTGCACAGCTGACAATGGGGCTGAATTTCATAGAGCAGTGATGTCACCCACCGATGTCAACTGTTCTAGGCGCTGGAGGGAGAAATAATTCCTTCCCACCTACTTGCTGATGGTAAATAGTTTGCAGTGGAATGGGGAGCAGTGGGAAGACAGCACTTAAAAGGTGAAGTATTATATAATAGCCTGAACTTCTACTTCTACTCTAGTGTAAAAATCAATACTTTTTTTTAAAGTTTTGGATCAAGTGGGATATGTTTTAGGGTGTTTTTGTTTTGTTTTTAGGTTTTGTTTATTTGCTGTCTGTCACATTGCAACAGACAGACCACAGGAGGTGAGAAAAATCATTTACAAAGTAAGGGGAAGTCCCCTCTTAGACATTTGTACCAGGTGTAACCTTTGGGAGATATCCCCAAACCTCCTCTTCCAGTGACAACTGTAATATTTTAGATTTCTTCTAAGTTTCCGTCACAGTGACAATGGCCACCAAGACAAATAGGGATGTTTTTTCTTCCCAGCAGTGACAGAGACCACAGGAAAAACATAAGGGTTTTAATATTTTCCCACTCTTTTCAAACTTTAAAAAAAAAAAGGATTTTTTTATATACTTTAACATTGATGTGCAAAGTGTGAAGTAATCCTAGCAATCAATCAGCAATTATTTTAATTGCTCTAAACTGGTCAAAAGTAAAATCTGGTTGGTATGGATTTCTGAACCTTGTTGCACCTCTCTATTAAATAGGCCTGTTTAAGTAACATACTTTTTTTTTCCTTTTCAATAAGTGATGAAGACAACAAGCCACTTCAGGGCAGCCAGACTTCTATAGATGGAACCATAAAGCAGCAGGAAAGTGACGACAGCCTTGTTGATTACGGTGAAGGAGGAGAGGGACAGTTTAATGAAGATGGCTCTTTTATAGGGCAGTATACAGTTAAAAAGGACAAAGATGAGACCGAAGGAAATGAAAGTTCAGAAGCCACTTCACCAGTTAATGCCATCTATTCTTTGGCATAGGGCATTGGTACTTCCCTATTCCTTTACTACCTCCATGTCTTTGCCTCTCCTTGGAGCACAGGTTCCATCTTTCCCATGCAAAATTCATATGGTAAGCCTGCACCTGAATGTGGATTCTGCTAACATCCAAAGGACAACTAGGAGGCATGGAAGTGTAGAGCGCAATCCCATCCTACAGCTGCTGCAGTTCTTGTACAAGCCACACACAGTATTATTACCTGCTGGGACATCCTCAAGCCTTGCCTTGCTATCTGCTAATTGTAGTTCCATTGACCTCCTCAGGTTGAAAACTGTCTGATATTCAAAATATGTAGAAATTTCTTCAGAAAGAGGTTGTCTAACTTCTTCCTAAAGTTCACAGTATTTGTTCCAGAAGTCAAATTCTTGTCAGACTGAACTGAACATTTTTTACTTTGTAATGTGACATTACAGCATTGATGGTCAACTATGTACCTAATCATAATGTAACAGAAAATGTAGTAACTATTAATTTTCCCCCTACCTCCAGAGTTATATGCTTTGCTCCAGAGTATTCTGTAATATGACATATATAACAAATAGGGCAATAAGACACTCTGGATTTGTGTTGCTTCATTATCACTCCCCACAGGACAGTGTCTTTTACCCTGCTTTTACTGCTTATGGGGAACCTAGTACTCCCATTAGACAAACCCTAGTCACATGGACCTTTTGATTGTAGCTGCTATCTTTACATATCCCACTTTACACTATCTCCGTGTGTAAGAGCCAACTCCTGCCATTATCCCCTTTTCTGCGAGAAGGATATAAGGAGCAACACAGTAGCAGTACTAACAAAATGTAATAACTGCATTATATACATAAACCTTTACTCTCTGTGACACTAACAATCTATGCAGAAAATATCTGTTCCTGTTTTGTCTTCTGTTTGGATCACACAATTTTTCACTTACTTTTAATTTTGAAGAAAATTATTGCCACCAGAATGATGTAGATGGGACCAGCACCAACCAAGGGTGTGTATAGAAGACTTGGCAGCACCCATAGGGGTAAATTCTTCCTAATATAAGAGATGAAATGCTAAATGAAAGTTATAAACATTTTGTATGCTGATGTAGGGGAACAGCAAAAGGTCCCAAATTGAAACTGTGTACACTAATGTGAATGCTTATGCATACATATAAGAGCTTGTTATATTGTATGTGTTTCCATATCATTACAGAAGGGTATGCTAGAAAAATAGTGGAGACAGACATATTGTCACTACTAATGCATTTTGAGTGTGAGGAGAAGGCTGGAAGCTCCACTGCCTATACTGTACCATATCAGAGCGAGTTAAAATTAAGGGGAGCTGGCACTGCCTTAGTATATCTCAAGCTGTGATCTGAAGCTTTGCCAAATTGGGCCTTAATAGTCACCCAAAATTAAAAGGGTGCCTTCACCCACATCTTGTGTAGTAGTGGTACAAAGATGTCCCAACTATACTTTAAATAACAATCAGCCTTGTTTCTCCTTTTGCACTAAATATTCCTTCATCTTTTATGTTTAAGACTTGTAAATAGTAACTTAAATCCATGTTTAAATACCACTCAGAGAAACATTAATATATTTATATCTAATCATTATACATTATTCACCTTTATACCACTGGAATGTTGGTTAGCCAATATTGATTCTTGGTATTAAACCGAAAAAACTAATTTCTTCCGCTAAGCGGGTTTACTTGCTAGAGTTGAAATTTGTAGTAAATAATATTCTTGCAAGAGATGCTGCAAAGTCCTCCAAGACTGTAGTGACCCCCCTCATTGACAATTGAATAATCTGTATTTTTCACAAATAAAAGTGTCATTGAATTCCATTTTTGTTTGGAGCAAGCAGAGAACTGCATGAGCACCACTAATCAGTTTATATCTGTCTGTTGTCCGTTCCTCGTTTTGTCTTTTTTAATCTCTGTAAAACAAAATAAATAAATTCATTTTTTTCTGTTTTCATATTTTTATGTGAAAGTGGCACAATTAACATTTATTGCTGCATACATTTCATAGTATAATGTAATAATTTCTTGTACCATGGATTTTCTTTTGGCATTGCATAGTTCCTCCAGCTAGTAAATAAGTATCGTTTGGGCTATATACTGTATGCTATGGTCTGTCTTGGGTCTGCTTCTTCCTTACCTCAGAGCAAGAGGTCTTTAAGGCTTCTGGGACTGCTCATTGCTATTAGCATTATAAAATATAGAGAGAGAACACATTGCATAAAACCATTTTATTGATGTCTAATGTACGCAAAAACATTACAAACCGGGACAAGAAAGTTAGCCATGATGTAAAAAGCTGCTGTTACAAACAGGAAGATTCTTTGCCTAGTTGTTAAAGTAAAACTAGTTGATGTTTTGTTTAACTGTAGTAATACATGTAAAGTAGATTGACCAGAACTTTGGGATTTGATTTTATCTCTTTCTGTGCCACATCAAGCACTTCTAGTAAAAAAGAACTTAGCAACTCATGAACCTCGTCCACAGGCAGTAGGTGTACTTCTAACCCAGCCTTTCTCAACCAGGGTGCCATGGCACGCTGGTGTGCCTTCTGTCTTCCTCAGAGGTGCCTCAAAAGTTTGTGGTAGTGGGACTGTGATGTGATGGGGGGAATGAAGACTGAGGTAAAGGGGGCTCCTGATGTTAAGGGGGAACTCTGATGTGAAAGGGGGGGCAAGCTGATATAGAAGAGCTTCTGATGTGAAGGCGGGATGCTGATGCAAAGGCTGACTCTGATGTGAAGGAGTGAAATCTTTATTTGAAGGGGTACTTCAATCTGAAGCGGATAACCCACTTTTTTTTGTGTTTTTGCATGGGGTCCCCCCCCAATATCTATGACATTTTAAAATGGGGTGCCTCGAGGTTTTTCATACTTTTAAAGGGTATCATGATTTTAAAAAGGTTGAGACGGCTCTTCTAAACAATGACCTAAAATAAACCTCTTGATTGTCATGAATACAAGATAAACAATAGGATGTTGGGTTTTATGTATCATGAAGTAATAAGGGAGACTCAAAACACAGTTAGTAATGTAAAACAATGACTACTACTTGTTCAAACACTTGTTTAACATGACTACCAGCATCTCCTTGTAAGCAGATGTTGGTGACAGTTCAAATTGCTTTCATATCATCACTTTTGGCCACTCGCATACATTTCACAAATTCCTCCATGAGGATCATGCGATCAGCTGAGGGTGGGAGGCGCTGTACTATACAATGACTGCTGACAGTGCCCACAGCCGTACGATTGCACCTGTGTGCAAACAGTATGCACCTAGGCATAGTTATCCGCGGGCACTGGCAACTGTCATTGGGGGGAATTTATCAAAGCAATTACGACAGTTTTAGCCTCTTAGATCATTTTTTTTAATGTGCAAATCTGTCTTTCAACATGTGCCCCTGTTTTTACCTGAGCTTGCACTACTTTTCCAACTGCACGTGTTTTGTACCTGTTTTCTTCAGAGCTTGCACTACTTTTTCAACTGCATCTTTTTTTGCACGTGTTTTCATCACCTAAGAAAACATCACAACTTAAGAAGTCCCCATGACCACTTCTTCAAGTTGCGACAGTTAAGCTTTTTGCCTGGAGTTAGAAGTCTTCTTTCCTGGAGTCTATTAAACCTCATTTATCAACAACATTACACTAGCTTCAAAAATCTGGTGCAAATATATTCCGTGCAAGTTCAAACACTCAAAAAAATTGAAAAAGAGAAAAGTGGGATTTTAAAGGCACCAAGCCACAAAGAAGATTTAATCTATAAAATATATATCATTTTATTGATTACATGATTAAAAAGATGGCGAAAAATAGCTGTAAAAAACACCTCCAATGACCACCTAACAATCACCTAATTCCAGAGTTCAATTGCAACAAACATGATTATATAATGTAACATGATTCAATAATTCACATGATATATTGCAGCATAAGATATATCAAAAATATATAATAAAGTATCAATAATTCATAGGCCTTAGCTTATGACCCCAAGAATAAATTATTGGTGGAAATAATGAATATCCACCTATTTTCCGAGTTCAAGTGCAACAAACATTATTGTGTGATATGACATGATTCACATAATATAAAGCTCCCTCCCCCCACGTATAAAATAATACACCCCCCGTTCCC